TAACAGTTTGGTGTGTATCAGTGCAGCCTTCCAGACACTTTCCGTATGTGTATGTGTTTTTTTACACACATCCATATACAGGCAGTCCATGGATTACGCACATCCAATTTATATACAACCCATAAGCTAATACATTAAAAATTTGAGGAACAATGGTTCATAATAACAAATAAGTACTACTTCATGAGACACATCCAAACATTATTATTACTGTGTTAAAGGTGTTTTAGTGTACGTGAAAGTGTTTTTTTTAACATTTTTTATACATAGAAGGGTATACTCTATGCTAGATACAAAGACAGACATCTGACTAGTTGATGTTAGGTGCAGATTGTACCTAACTATTGCAACTTACTTATGTGCAAATTCAACAGATTAAGGAAAGGAACGTGTTTGTAATCCAGGGACAGCCTGTACATGTGTATATAAAATGGGAATGACCCTGCATGGGTCTCTCTGATGTCTTTTGTTCACTTACTGCATCATAGAGAAGCCTAATAGCCTAGCCGGCTGTGAATGTGGACTCAGGAGCCATGCTGCCTAGGCTTGACCCAGGCTTTGCCGCTTCCCAGCTGACCTTCAGCTTTCTGTGTGTCGGTTTGCTGGTCTGTAGACGGGTGAGAGGCGCACCCAGCTTAGCGTTGTTGGGGGAAGTAGGTAGATGTTAACATACGTGAACTTCTCTGCTGTTGGATCTGGACATTGGAAGCTGTGGGATGTACCTTTGCTTAGTTTACATTCTGCATTGGACTGGGTCTATGAAGCGTCTTTTCAGGCGCCTTGTTTTTTCATGACTCACTGTGTTGAGTGCTTTTCCTGCTTTCTCATTGAAGTTGTGTTTGCTGCCCTCTAGTGAACCAGCAGGCTTGCACAGCTCTTACCTGAGAGCATGCTGCTGGAAAACTCTTCCTTGATGTGTACATTAGATGTCGTCTGTCAGGTAGCGCTCCGAGAAACTTCTGGGTGAATCCACAGACGTGTGGTAAAATTTGTGAAATGTTCTTTTAGATTTTTGAAGAATTGATCTACAGATAACAGTGGAGAAATGAATAAACATTTTTTTATTAAATGAATTCCAGCACTTAGCTGCTGCTTTTTTCTGTTATTGTCAGCGACATCTATTTAACTGAGAAACCAAAGGCTACAATTCTTTATGAGAATTCTTTAGAAGAGGTGGTAGGGAGTCGTGTCTGCCAACTTGGTGTCCTAAAAATATGGCTGATTTGTTACTTAGGGAGTAAATCAAACTAAAGCAACATTTTTCAAGTTAACAGCCATGGAAAGACATTCTGGATTCATGGATTGGAAGACTTAAATATTGTTACCGTAATAGGACATTATTCCCCCCAGTTGATGTACAGATGCATCTCAATTTCTGTCAAAAACTCAACTAACTTAGTTGCAGAAATTGACAAGATGATCCTAAAATTTGTGTGGAAATAAAAGAGATCGAAGTAAGCTGAAATCTTGAAAAAGAATAACAAAGTTGGAGGACTCAGACTTCCCTGTTTCAGAATTTATTGCAAAGCTACAATAATCAAAACTGTGTTATTGGCATAAGGGCAGACATAGAGATCAGGTGAATAGAATTGAAAATCTGGAAGTGAACTCATGCCTCTGCGGTCAGATGATTTTTAACAACAGGACCAAGACCAGTCAGGTGGAAAAGAATAGTGTAGTGTTCACAACAGATGACGCCAGGACAGCTGGTTATCCCATGCAAAAGAATGAGGTTGGACCCAACCTCCCACCAAACACAAAAATGAACCCCAATGGAATCAGAGACCTGAAACTGTAAAGCAATTAGGAAAAAGCATAGGTGTAAATCTTTGTGACTTTGGATTAGTCAGTGCTTTCTTAAATGTAACATCAAAAAGCATAAGCACTCAAAGAAAAAAATCAATTGAATTTATCGAAAGTGAACACTTAAGCTTCAAAGGATACTGTCAAGAAAGTGAAAGGACAGACCACAGAATGGGAGAAAATATGTGCACATGAGATCTCCGACAGTGGTCTAGTATCAACTCTAGGCCATGTATTCATATCCCCTGATTAACTTTATGCCATATTCTGTCAGTGCAGTTGAATTCCATTATTAGCACATGTATTTTCAAACGGATTTAGCTGTGATCCTGGGTCAAACCACTTCCCCTGCCCTCTCTGTATGAAGGAAATTCCAAGTACTGTCTTACACCACTTTCAAGGGGAAATGAAACTCAAGATGCTAGGTAAAACATAAGCTTGGGAATTAAAGTTTAATAGCTAAGGGGGAAAATAGATTAAATTCACATCATCTTCAGATAGTTAAAGTGCTTAGTGGTACATCGCTGCATTTACGGCTCGCTCCTTGTGCTCCTGTCACGTGAGGTAAATGATAAAAATACTTTGTATGTCACATACCTGTTTCCAGCCAATCAGGAATCAGGATTATTTTTGTATGTCATAATTGAGTTTATTGTTTGGAGAAGAGCTTTCAGTAGGACTCAGGAGATAGAGAGGGCCACATATTAGGACTTCTTAAGTTGTAGTGAAGAGAAAACTGGTCTGGTTTGTTTAGCATTTTGAGATTTTTTTGTGAGTTCTGACTCTAGAAATGCACAACCCTATCTTTTTAGTTACAGGTTTTAATACTGTTTACTCTTAATGCTTCTTAAGGTAACATTGGATCACTGCTTCTACTTTTGATGAAGCAGTTTAATGGGCTGTGAAGGAAAGATTACCAGATATTCAGGGAGATACAGAATTTTATGAAAATGTCTTCAAGGTTTCAGTCATCTTTACCGATTTTCTTCTCACCGGGGCCAATTGATTTAGGTTCTAAAACAAATTCCTCTTGTTCGTTGAATGAGCTAGACAATATTTCACATCTTTTAAGGAAAATATCAACTGATATCAATGAGATTAAAGGCATGAAGGCAGCCCTTCTGACAGTGGAAGCCAGTCTTTTTGATCTGAATGTTCGAGTGTCCCAGAATGAAGCAAGCATTTCATCTCTGGAGGTTAAAATGAGTGAACATTCAGCATCCACATCAGAGTGCAACAGGCAGCTTGAAGATCCTCAAGAGGAACTCGATTTTGAATCACAGTCACGGACCAGTGACGTACAGATAATCGGCTTCCTTAGAAATATCGAGAAAGGTAAACTCTTCTAGTGTATGGCGTCTTCTAGGTGTTCATTCTTAAGGTCTTTCCACCACAGCCTGACTGTAACTCAGCAGAGGCAGTGGCTCATGAGGAACTTGAATTCTTCATGGACCTTTAATGACACATTTGGGCTCTTCATGATTTAACCCAGAAGCCTGAAATTGGGCAGCATTCCATCCATTATTCCTGGATCTCTTCGGAATGATGTTTTAGAAAGATAGATGAGGCAGAGTTGAAATGTGAAAGAGTAGCTCTTTCATGTACTGGTCTGAGTGAAATTATTTTAAAATACTTAATTTCTTGGTTCACTGTTTATGTTAGACCTATGTGTAGTAGTTGAACCTACTGTTTGGATTGAAAGAGCTTTGCTATAGCCTATTATGTGGTTGTTTTCCCAGCCATCCTACAAGGTACACAACTTGACCAGTGACACCTGTGCTTCAGATCTGATCCCAGGATTTACTGTGTTTTTTGCTGTGATAAGTTTAGAAGGAACTCGCCTCTTTTTTTTTTTTTTGGACACACCACTGAAGCATATTATAGTTTATGTTTTACATGAAGAAAGCAGCTGATAAAATTGCAAACTGAATATATATTTTAAAATTTAAAAACATTTAAAAATAAAACTTAGTACCAGCTAAGAGATTGGTGATGTATATGTTTATATTGGGTGAACAAAGCCTATTCTTTCTAAACTACTGGTAACAGATGTGCCAAAAGTTAGCACGCAGACATCTTGACAGTATTTTCAGTGTTTTGAACCCTGTCACACACATCCCTTTGTACGCTGTAGTATAACATGTAGTGTAACATCAGCAAGTGATGCCTCACATCTGCTAAGCACTCTGTGGTTTTCAGAGAAGCCTGATATCCTCCCACCCCTCAAGGAGCTTACCATCAAATCTTGAACAAGATTTGGAACCAGTGAACCTGGATAAAATCAGTTCTAGGTCACTATTCTGTTTTGCAGCATGACTATTGGGAAGTTACGAGCCTGTTTAACCAAAGCTCAAACCCACTGCCAACAAGTCAACTCTGAGTCGTGGTGACCCTCTAGAATGGGTAAAGCTGCCCCAGAGGGTTTCCAAGGCTGTTAGTCTTTGTGGAAGCAGACTGCCTCAGCTTTCTCCCAGGGAGGGGCTGGTGGGTTCAAACTGCTGACCTTTCAGTTAGCAGCCGGATGCTTTAATGACCGTGCTGCCAGGGTTCCTTAGGAACCTGTTTAAGGGATAATAAGTGCTGTAGCTTGAGCATCTTTCTTCATAGGTGATCCAGACGGTTATTTTTATGCAGTTGGGGAATCTGGACAGCAGAGCTCTGAGTGTCATACTTACTTGTTCATTGTTGAACAGTTGCCTTTTGGAGGCTCCGTAACCAGAGAACTCTGAAGGGTTGTGTTGGGTTTACGATTCTAATAGGTTTTGTTACCATGAAAGAGGAGGAGGGTGGGATGTGGGATAGGGAGATGGGTTGTAATGGTGAGAGCTCAAGTGATGGAGGAAGATGCTTCCTGCCATCTTGCGTGTGGCTGTGGCCCATCCCATGGTAGGGCCCTGGCCTTTCTGTTCTTTCCTCTTTATTTTATCTCCAGCCTTTTCGTCACTTTGGGAAAACTGCCTTCTTGACGTGGGAGGACAGGGGTGGCCTATGTTGCTTTCTTTGGTTCAGCCTTGTTGCTCTTTGGTTCATAGCATATGCTTTTCTTTTTTTTAAATACTAAATTATATCACTGAAGGCTTCTTTTTAAGACTTTCCGTTAAGAACCCAGAAAGGTTATATTTGGCATAATTTCTGGGTAATGCACATGTTGGTATTGTTTGTTCAAGTTTAGTGAAGTTTTAAAATTTATATTCTAGGACCTCAACAAAGGCAGTTGTTTTCCCGACTGCAAATTGACCCCGTAATGGCAGAAACTCTACAGATAAGTCAAGGTTGGTAATGATCTTAAAATTTTCATTATAGTCTGCCAGTTGTCAGTTTCTGTTTGCACTTCATTGGCTATGTCTTATGTTCCTCAGGTCTGCCCTGAGATGCTCCCTGTCGATCTGTGAAAACACTTGTAGGGCCAGGAGACGGTGTTTGGGTTTCCACCTCTTTCAGAAGCTTCCTGTCTTTGATTCCATTCCACCTAGTTTCCTGCCACTTACTGGCTGCTCACTCACTCACCTGCTGTCAGGGACGACTGACTCCCTAACTTCTTGTCCTTCTCTGCCAAGTCATGGCATTGCCCTGAGTTGCTTTAGCGTTTCCATGGCTTGTTACCTTATCTCCGGTGACCCTCACTTTTATTTCAGTTTAGGATCTTATTGCCAGGGTCACACCCTCGTGCTTCTTGGAGCCACTGTAATTTACCTGTGTGCCTGGTCCCCAACTCACACAGACACACACCATTGGTTACTGCAGGGCTGAGGCTAGTACCTTATTTATCTCCATTTCCTCAGTGCCCAGCTGTTGCTAGATGCCTGTTAAGTGCCTGATCAATGCCAAATGAATAGAGGAAACCCTTGGCTATATAAAACCTCAGAATTCAGAAATATCTTTCCTCCTGTTTCCTCTGTTTTCTCTTAGCCTGCCCTTCGTTGGGAGCTCTGGTTCTTTGACCACTCCCTGTCATCTTCTTGAATTTTCTTCCCTCTCAGGATGCTGCAGTCAGTGGCTGTATCCCTGACCCTTCACTGACCTCTGTCTCAGAGACAGGTTGTCCTCTCTGAGGGCCCTCCACCCAGATGCCAGATCCTGTCCATTGGCTAAGCATTCTAGTGACAGCACACCCCTGTAGCTTCAGTAGCTGTTCCCCTGCTGCCTGATTGAAGCTCAGGTGTTCTCCGTCCGTGGCTTTGCCCTCTCACCTACTCCATTCCTCCCTGCTTTCAGCAGAGGAGCTTGGCAGCCTGAGTCTGCTCGTTGGATCAACTTCAGAAGCTCATGCTCGTTTTCCCTTTTCTGTTTCTTTTAGTTTTTATTTTTAAATCTTCAAGTTGTTCTGTGAGGCTTGTTCTGAACGACTGTAGTCCTTCACTGACTATCTAGCGTGTGTTTCATGTCTTTTTTTTTAAGATACATTTCATTGAAATATAATTTATGTACAGTGAAATATGCAAAAGTAAAGTGATATGGGTCAATGCATTTTTTTCATTTCTGAGAGCCCCCCCTTTTTTTTCTTTTTAAAGAAGATTGATTGTGTTTCATGGATGCCTTCTTTAAAGATAGATTTCTTTCCTTCTCTCTTTGGTCTTGATTCTTTGAGCTGTTTGCTTTGATCATTGCTTTCAGGATGATTGCTGGGGGTCTTGGCTCATGAGTTGAGGGAGCCTTTGCCTTCACATATGAATGTAGATCCCGCCGTGGAGAGTGATTTGTCTTGACTGTACTTTGGGGGTACCCCCAGCGAGGCTTTTCCTCTCAGGCTGGTCTGCTTCTCCAAAGGGCATTCACACAATGCCTTGGTGGCCAGAGCTCTGAGCACCAGGTAGAGACAGGGCTGGGGAAGTGCCACACCAGCAGTGGTTCTGTAATGGTCAGTGAGCACCCCCCCCCCCATTCTGTATGATTTCTTCACCATGGTTCCTGGCATTCCTCTGTTTTTACGTCTGTGGGGTCCTACAGCTCCTCTTTCCTTCAGGGGAGGGTGTGTGTGATTAGCCAAGGGCATCATGAACTCAGCCGCCTTATTTTAATAGTCTGCACTGGATCTGCCAGAGACCTACAGGCCACTCCAGCAGTGATGAGCAAGAAGACACATCACTGACCTGTTCAGATATCTTTAGTTTGAGTTAGGGCGATATATGTGAGAAGTTCAAAGACAACAGATGAATTAGAGTTTAGGAAGAACTAAGTGCTGCTTCCTCGGAAGGAAGGTTGGGCAATCCTACTTCCGTAGTGATACTGCCTCGGAAACCCAAGGAGGGGTCGCTATGAGTCGGGGCCGACTCCACGGCACATAACAACATAACAACAACAAGTGCTGCTTCAGTAGACACTCCAGCTAGCCCTCTTCTCTGCTCTAGCTTCTCCTCCACCTTTTCCTAAGATCTCCTGTGCTGCCAGTTCCTCAGCCCTTGGCGGATTTTGTCATCTCAGTTGCTTCATTATGGGCTTGGAGTTCAGCATTTGCAGATCTAAGGTACTCCCTGCCATCTGTCTCAGTCCACTCTCAAAATGTCACGGTGGGTTCTCCTTTCCTAGCTGTTTCCTCTGTAGGTTTATGACCACCACCCCCCCTTATTTTTTTAAACTCTTTATTGGCATTTTGTGGGATTTCAGAAGGGACCAGAGTGAATGCATGGGTTCAGCCGGCTGTCCTCACCCAGAAGAGCTCATTAAGCTCCGAGTTGTTTGGCTCCCACTCGACCCAGGCTGTTCGTGTGAGCCTTCGAGGTGGCCAGCAGTTCCTGTAGACTGTCCAGATCTGTTTTCAGTGCTCACCTTACTCACCTTGGGAGCAGGTGACACTGTATTCCCAGGCTCTCTTCAGTCTCTGATCCTCTGGCTTCAAGGACCTCACTCTTTCTGTATTACCCTAATTATTCCCTTTCGTTCTCCTTAGTCAGTGCCTCTCCTGGCCTCCACTGCCCTTTCAGTGTCAGCTTGACCGTGTGTCCTGCCTTCAGCATTATTTTCATGTCTTGGAAGATGCAAACTCATAAAGGCGTTTCGCCTCAAAAAGTGTAGGGGGATGAGAAGGAGTCCTGCAGTCTTTGGACCAGATCCTGGGCCCCCCCGTGGCTGGCTGTGAGCCCTCACTGTGTCAGTGAATGACTGTGAGCTGCACACTGGTCACCTGCAATGGGAGCATGTACTTCTTAGGCTTCGTGTGAGGAGAGCGATGCCCAGCGCTGAAGACGCACAGCTTAGGAACATTCTTAGGTGACCTGAATCGACTCACTGCTTTCATTTCTTTCCCTCTCCTGAAGGGCAAGTCTCAATTTCTCAACTTTTTCCTAAATAATCTGCCATACTAACCAAATGTAAAATTAAATTTAGCTTTACCTTCTCCCTCCCCCTTTTAAATCTGTACTTTCATTTATTTCTTGTCTCCATGAATGGAGTAATGGGGTACTTGGTTTTCAGGTCTGTCCTCTCCTACTACTGACTGCTCACCAGAAGGCTGGAGGTTCAAACCCACCTGCCACTCCTCGGAAGGAAGGTTGGGCAATCTACTTCTGTAGTGATACTGCCTCGGAAACCCAAGGAGGGGTCGCTATGAGTCGGGTCCGACTCGACGGCACCTAACAGCAACAGCACTCCTGTTGTGTGTGCTGCCTCTCTGCTGCCCCCCCTCAGGGACGGTGGTTGAAGATTTCAGCGTCTGTGAGCTGCTGGGGCTGCCGGCGGTGTGGAGAGTGCTGTCCCCCCGGGGCTGTGAGAGCGGGACAGAGGCCTGAGAGTCTTTCAATCCAGAGCCTCACCTGTCCGGGGCAGCAGCCTCTGAACACTGAGCTCCAGGACTGGAGTCCATCCGTAGGTCTGTTTTCCAAAGACTCATTTGATCATGTCACTTCCCTACTGAGAAACCTTTTCTTGATTCCTTGTTACTTCTGGACTGCAATCCAGACTCCTGGACACATACAGGACCCTTCCTGGCAGGTCTCAGGCCTCCTGGCGGTGTACCTGCTCCACCCCCGCCAGCCCACACACGACCCGTCTCACGGCTGCCGGCTCCTTGTACCCGTGGCAGCCCTTCCCTTCGGCCTGGGGCTCTGCCGGGAGCCCTGTCTCTGCTCCTTACCTTGTCCCCCTCTGCTTCATTTCGGCCCCTTCCCTTGATGCTTCTGTCCTTGAGAAGCTTTTCCTCAGTTTCCCAGGATTGGAAAGGTTGCCTTAAGTTCTTCTGGCATGTCGCTCGTACTCTTTGGAGGCCACCTTTCTGTCATGCTGTTCTGAAATAGGTATGCAGCTGTTTTGCCACTCTTTCCTTCTTTGTGTTTGTGTACTTAGCACAAAGCTACTAGGTATTCCATAAGTGTTTGTCCAATGAATAAACACAAAGGAATATTCTGTGAATTTTGGTCCCTGTTATTTAGCTGTTAACTTTAAAAGGAGTGTCACTCGTTTGTTTTTTTTGTCAGTTGATGCTATGTTGGTAGGCACTCTGACTGATCCTGGGCTGAAGGTCTTGGCATGTTTTATAAAGTAGACAGGCCTGAAAAGTGTGCTGTAGATGATATTAGCTGATAGTTCTTCGCATTGAAGGCCTGAATATTTTCCTTGCTGTGTCTCTTTAAACACCCATTCATCTTAAAGTTCCCCTTCTAAGTATTTCTCTGCCTACAAACAGGTAGAAATGATACAAATTCACATTTTATCAGGATAAATCCCACTTAGGAGTGATACTGTGCTCGGTGATCAAAGCTGACTGTACAGAGTAGTCGAAGAACTGCATCATCACTGTGCGTCGTAGCATTAGGGTCAGACATTACCCATGTTCATAGGAAAGATTGCTGTGCTTAAAGTAAGTGTACACTGTTAAATTGTCCCAAGTGGCTGCCTCCCAGAGGCTTCAGTACTGTAGGTGGAGGAGGTTCACAGGAACGCTTGGGCACGTGACATGTGAAGACCATGCCTTGAGTTCTCTGAAAAGTCGCCTGCGGTAGAATCACAGCCTCTTCCTGGGGAGAACCGAGTATAATTTTCTTTTTAAAATAATCACAAATATGTAACGGACTGAAGTTCTTCTCACGTTGTATGATGTTGGGGATGCAGGGTATATTCCAAAGTAAACATTTGTGGCCAATTTTTTTGGCTCAGATTACTATGACATGGAATCCATGGTCCATGCAGACACCAGATCATTTATTCTGAAGAAGCCCAAGCTGTCTGAGGAGATAGTAGTGGCTGCAGAGCACGAGGCGGGGACGAAGACTGCAGATACCCTTCGGGTACTTTCAGGACACCTTATGCAGACGCCACGGTAGATGGTTTCTTTTTCTTGTGTAGCCTCTGTGTGGACTAGATAGTGCAGGCCGGCCCTTGTTCCCTCCCAGCTCCTCCCCTCCCCGTCAGCCCTCTCCAGCCCTCGTGTGGAGCGCCAGGGTCGAGGCAGTAGCCGGGCCAGGCATAGTCAGCCAGGTTCCGCCTGAGAAAGTCCAGGGCGTGTTTCTTGTTCAGAGGGCTGTCAGCCTGAACATAAAACTCGGTGTGCAATTGAGCTGTGATAAGACAATTCTTTATACATATCTAGGAAATAAATGAAATGTAACTAGCCAGGTGACTAAAAGCAAGGGATTTCTCTAGGGAGAGTTAGCAGATGGGGTGGGGGTGAGTCTTCCCTTAGAGAATGGATGGAGTGTTCTGCAAAGGAATGAATATGCAGCTCAGAACGTTAGCGTGATGCAGACCTGCTGGCCATTGTCTTCTGAGTGTAGATGCTGTTTTTTCCGTTTATTTCCCTGTTACTCTCTGAGGGACAAGGTGAGGGGAAATTGTCCTCAGTAAGTGCAGGCTGGCGGGCCATGGGTGGTCCTGTGGTGACTGTCCATGGCCCACCATGCCTTACAGCAGTTCCTAAGGCCGTACCTGGAAGTCCTAGCAAGTCTTTTCTCACTGGACATGAGGGACGTGAGCAGGGAGGGGTAGTTGTGCGCAGGAGCACTGAAGAGGCACGGTTTTTTGTGGTCGTTTCCCTAATTCTGTGGTGTTTTCTATCTGTCTGGCAGAGATCTTGTACAACCAGATAAACCTGCAAGTCCCAAGTTTATAGTGACGCTGGATGGTGTCCCCAGCCCCCCAGGATACATGTCAGATCAAGAGGAAGACATGTGCTTTGAAGGAATGAAACCCGTAAACCCAACTGCAGCCTCAAGCAAGGGACTCGGAGGCCTCCTCCACCCACAGCAGTGGCAGTTGATGAGCAGGCAGCTTGAGGACCCAAATGGTAGCTTTTCCAACGGTGTGTTGAGAGCTCAGCTGACCCCTTTCAGGGGATGTCGCTGTGAAGGACTCTGGGGCATGCTTTTCTGCCTTGAATGAATGTTGCTTGGAGGCTTGGCGTTTTCTTCACATCCAGTGGTAGCCTTTCCTTTTCCTTCAGACAAAACTGCCAGTTAAATTTGAGCCAGTGATCCAGTGTGGATGTGGGGCTTGGCCACGCGGCCTTCGCGGGTTTGCTTGTTGAAGACTGGGCGCTTACTCTTTGTGCCTTATTTATTTACCTTTTTTAATTTAAAAACTCGATACTTATGTATTTCCCCTTGTACTCATAGTCTCTCCTGTAATTAACGTGGCCTTGAGAAAAAATTTAATTCGGTTTTTGGTGCTGTTTCCGTTTCAGTGACATTTTCTTGGGAGGCATTTCTTGATTGATTTGTTAAGAGAGTTGGAGGTGTAGAAAGGACCTTATGTGTAAAGTTACACTGAATGACAGCATTTGGTTAAAGGCAGATGTACTGCACTCTGAGGGTGGCCGCCACCAGGCAGGTGGACGCTGTGGTCCCTGCGTCTCCTCACTGGGCTCCAGCAGTTGCTGCCGCCCCACCGACCACTTCCATTCCTGATGAAGGATGACAGTCGTGGTCCTCACACCTCTCAGTTTTCAGAATAACGTCCTCACTGACAGGGAGGAGCTGTACCTGAACCTTAAAAATGAAGAATTTTGATAAAAAAGCAACAATGAATTTTGAAAAGGTTCCCAAGTAATCCTTTTTGTGGCCTAGTTATGAAAATGTATTGAATGCCTTTTTTAGTCACGAGAAACATACTGAGACACTTGGAGGGGTACGTGAGTGAGTGCAGTGCATCAGGGTAGGGTCAGGGGTTAGGTTGATGGAGGGAGTTCTAACACTGAAAACCTGCGCCTTTGATGTGATGAGGAAGAGGGTCTGTCACTGACGGTGCAGGATCTTTATAGCCGTGGGAAGAGTGGCCGCAGAGCTGCTGGGAACTCACGAGGTCGGGCAGGACCGACTGCGCGCTGCCGTACATTCTTTCCTCAGATAAAAGAAAAGCTTCTGGTGTACTCAGTATAGGTTTTTAATTTGGGGAAATGAATTATTTGTTGTTGTTGCATGCTAAGCTCAAATTTTGTAGAAATGTAGATTTCCATGTTAGATGTGTTGTTGTAGCAGCAGGGACGCTATGAATATGTTTGTGTGAAAATCTTGCCCTGGTCACCGGGTGCTGTGGCCATCGCAAAGGCGCTGTGGTCGGTGGGAGCCACTTGACTGGTGCTTGGATTTGCGACCTTGCTGCTGCTCAAGGGGGGGCTTTTGCTGGCTGTTTGCCAGTTGTTTCTCAGGGTGCTGTCACACCGCAGTGCCTGCTGAAGCCACCCCTGCTGGCCGTTACGTGGTAGCACAGATTTTTTTTAGCTTTCAGTATTAAGTCTTGACACTCAAGCAGGAAAAGTTTTAATAGCTTATGAAGTAAGTCAGGGCCTTTGGTGTGTGATGATGTAACCTGTCCCTTGTACCTGTCCCTCCTGTAAAGTGCTCATGAGTGTCCCGCTGCCTTTCTCACTGCCCACCCTCGCTGCTCTGGTGGTCGTCTTCGTCTGTGCTGGGCTCCCTGCGCCCACCACAGTCTACTGGATGTTCTCTAAGACCAGGCCCGGCACACTTCCTCTGCAGGGGCGACATGGAAACCAGGGGACCACCTCCCTTCAGCCCCGTCCGATTTGCTTCGGGACTCGGAATGCTTTCGTATTCCAGAGTCAACAGTAACTTCACTGATAACCTTAGTAGCCTGGGAATTTATGTGTTGGGCATGGTCATGGTGATTGTTTGGTGACGCTCCGTGTGGGCTGTGTGGCTGATTTGTGCCCTTTATAGCTGCGTGTAGTAGACTGAAGTTGCGTGTTCCTGAGCAGATGGTCACGAGGCTGCACTTCATGGTCACAGGAAGCATGCAGGCAGCGGCTGCTGCTGGGTTACGCTTACTGCCTATTTTGTATTCTTTCCAAGAAATCACCAAACTCCAAGTAAGATGTTATTTTCTCTTTGTATAGCTGAAGAAACTGAAGTTCAGAGATGTTCGCTAACACGTGCCTAAGGTGTGGAACTAGCTAGGGAGTGACAGGGCTGCGGTAGAGTTGCCTGACCTCAGGCAGATCACTAGAGGGATGGGGTTGGTGTGATAATAAGATTTCATAAATATGAATATAAACCATAATATGTAATACCCGTGCCTTTGTATTTATTTATGTATTTTTGGCTAGAGTGTCTTGGGCCACCGTTGGCAGCTAATCATGGCCTGTAGGTATAATTTTATTTGTTCCAGTCACTGTTTTAAATATTCATAGCCAGCAGTTAAAGTTCAAATGTCACATAAAGAGGTAGATTTTGGGCTTCCTGACAAGACACAGTCTGGCAACATGGGTCCCTCTTTTGAGTAACTGACGTAATTGGACATGACGTAGCAGTTGGAGTGGCAGTGAGCCCTGTGGAATGGATGGTGAATGTATGTTCTCTTGTTTGCTGGTGGACACTTCACTGTCTGGTGACCTCCTGGGCCTCTGTAAGTTATGGTATTTGTGACCCATTTTAGGCAAAAAAAAGTCTCTCCCTTTTTATACATTGACTTAGAGAACTACATGTATCTCAATAAGGGGACAATTTCGTGTTTGTCCCACTTCACAGTCTTGCCTGAATGTTACGAATCACCACTTTGTGTTTTCCATTTCTGTGTTGTTTATTAGCTCCTTGCTTGACATCCTTTCCTCTCTTATATTTAACCCAACTCTGAAATAATATTGAGAATTAGGTTTAATGCTAGACCCTTGGCTCTAGTAACAGAGTCACTGTCTAGTTTGCTTTTCACACCAAGAGGTGTGGTCTCCTTCCCTATAATAGAAGATTCTCCTGCCAATGTTCATCAGATTATTTGGGCTCATTAGTTTTGTGTCACTGTAAGCATAAAAGAATGTAAGACTTTAAGACTGGAGATAAAGGGAAATTTATTAAAGGGCCCATGTACTGAATTGATCATAATTAACAAGATCCTTTCCTTTCCTTTCCCTTTGTAGCTGAGGTGAGTGAATTGAGTGTGGCCCAGAAACCAGAAAAACTGTTGGAGCGCTGCAAGTACTGGCCTGCTTGTAAAAACGGGGACGAGTGTGCCTATCACCACCCTGTTTCACCTTGCAAGTGAGTAGCATCCAGATGATTCAGATGTCTAGGTTAAAGTCTCTGTCGTAGAGCTTGTTTATTTTTCTTTTCTATGGACGGGTTTTAATAGCTGGTTTTAAACCATTTTATAGGTAAATGCAGTGGCAGTTACCATAGCTCTCCCGTCAGGACAGCATACTTGTGTGTACATGTGGTTACTGGGGCTGTGCGTGCAGGGAAGATGGGGAGGCTTCTTTGTGCCTTGGACCCACGAGATACTGGCATTTCTGGTTTCCTTGAGGGTTATGTACATTTAAGGAGATGGATAGATGTTAATGGCTCTGGTTGGTATGTACTGTGTACACAGATTTTGAAAATTGGGGAAAATTTATTTATGGTAATGCATAAACATTTTGGACTTGAGTTAGATTTTTTTTACCAGCTGGCTTATTGGCTTACTCAGTGTAAAGAGCTTTGAGAGGGAATCTTTTGTCCTCTGGGTGGAAATCTCTGTGTTCTAACTTCTTGAAGGAAATCTTGGTGTGGGAATAATATGGATGTATATACAGGGAGACTGTGGGACGAATCTCTAGTTGAAGTGTGATGCTTTGCACATACAGTGTGGTCACTATTGAATTTACTTCATAAGTTTTATACATAAGGACTTTAAATCGAGACTAAGTAGTATGAATTTGATTGTCACACAGAAAAAGCTTTTGTCTTTCATGGTAGGTTGCTTGAATTGAAAATGTTTGGTGTTGTCCTTGGCTTTGGAATAGATAGTTGTATCCTATCTGATATCTTGCTTCATTTAAAAATGGAGTATTTTTTTTCATGTCATTTCTGCGTTTTTTACAGTAAGTAGTGATGATAGTGTATAGGGAGCCCTTAAATGTGAATAATGAACTTTTTTGTTTCACAGAGCCTTTCCCAATTGTAAATTTGCTGAAAAGTGTTTGTTTGTTCATCCGAATTGTAAATATGATGCAAAATGTACCAAGCCAGATTGCCCCTTCACGCATATGAATAGAAGAATCCCAGTGCTGCCTCCAAAACCAGGTGAGTGACCATGCACTACAGGTGAGTAAAAAATGAAAAACATTTTGTTGATGTAAACTGAATTAAAGAAAATAATAGTGTTAGAAACCATCTTGACAGTATGAGTTCTGTTAAATCACTCTTTAAAGAGCAGTTGTATCTGTCCTTTAAGTAGTCTGAAGTGTCTTATCTTGACTAATATATAAACTTTATTCAGTTTTCTAAAATGGTTGCCATGAAACGTAGGTAGAGTTGATCAATCTTTGTTCTTATTTTTGTCAGCAGTTACAACACCAGCATCCCCTTCTAGCACTCAGCTCTGCCGTTACTTCCCTGCTTGTAAGAAAATGGAATGTCCCTTCTATCATCCAAAAGTAAGAACTTCTATTTTCTCAAAGATCAATATAGCAGTAAGTGTTCAATTCTGAGATCTGGAAGATCACTAATAAATTTAATGGCTTGCATTTTTTCCAGTTTAACTTCTTATTTGTTGGAGTTGGCTTAATAGCCTATAAGGTCTTTAAGTCATTTCTTAGTTGTCATTGAACTCCAGTCTGGCCTCTTAGGCACGTGTTCAGAAACTAATGGTACCGTCCCCAAGCACTCAGCAAAGCAGGCTCATTTTTGTTAGCCACGATTTCCATTCTTTTCTTCCCCTAACCACAAGGGTATTTGCTTTCTTTGTACCTAATGCCAGCATTGAGATGATGAAATCTAGCTGTACTGCTCAGTACCATCCAGGTTGTTCTGACAGCAGTGACTGTCTTAATTTGCTGAAGATGGTGTGATGTATCTCCACTCATTCAGAGTGCACCATCTCTTCTCCAGGAGAGCAGTCAGAAGCCCATATGAAAGACCACACTTCCCCAACTGTAATGGGCAGGGAGCGTGGCGAGTGTCAGGGACATCGGGCAGGGTGCACAGGGAAGAGTACTACATTGGTAGAAGTGTGTCTTATATTCTAAGGTTCCTTTTGAAATGTCACTTGCTGTGATTCTTTGACAAGGTTTTTGTGTCTCAGGGGTTCATTTGTCAGGGCCTCAGTAGTCTGAAATGAACATTATGGACCGTATCTCTTGGGCTCTTCACAGGGAAGGTTGGGTTGGTTACTCTCGTATCAGATTGTTGTGTTCACTTAAAATAGTAGCTTTGCAGATGTTGTTGAAACAATACTGTCTTTAGCACTGTAGGTTTAACACCCAGTGTACAAGACCTGACTGTGCGTTTTACCATCCCACCATTACTGTACCGCCACGACATGCCTTGAAATGGATTCGACCTCAAACCAGGTAAAGATTAAAATTAGTTTTCCCAATGTCATTTCAAATACTTGTCTAATAGATGAGTGGTTTCACAAATTTATAAACTCAATTTTGGGGAAACGGCAAGGTAGTTTGGGATTTTTCTCTGTTGTTTAATTATATAACGGTCGTTTGAGAAATAATTTATTACAGTGACCAAATATTGTTTTATCCAATGATTGACTGATCACCTAGATCATCTCCAAATCAGATTCCTTTCACTCCACTCCTGATTGTCTACTGTGTGAGCATATACGAAGACCTTTAGGAATTTATATACAGCACATGACCATGTATCAAATCTCTTTTCTTAGACATTGAAAAAAACCCAAACCAAGTGCCATCGATTCGATTCCAACTCATAGTGACCCTCTAGGACAGAGTAGAATTGCCCCCATAGAGTTTCAAGACACTATATCTTTACGCAAGCAGACTGTCTCATCTTTCTCCCAGTGGGGTGGCTGGTGGATTCGAACCACTAACTTTTTGGTTAGCAGTCAGATGCTTTAACCACTATGCCATCAGAGCTGCTTAGACATAAGCAATTGTAGTAAACCATTGAAAAGTTTCAAAATATTTTAGTGTGGCCCCTAAGCTTAATTACATATGTTGTATCTCGATGGCACATAATAACAACAACAACATCCTTCTATGTACCTTACATAATTGAATTACCTTCTTAAAAATCTAATTATATATATTGTAATATGTAGACCAAATACTCATTGTCTGAAAATATTTAACTTCATATATACATGGATGCACAGCATTTGAACATTTTTGGTTCTGTTTATTCAGCGAATGACACCCAGTTCTACCTGACAGAAGATCATGGATTTGGAAAGCTGCCACCTGCTGATGAGAGATAGAGACACCCTACAGAATCTGTCAAGTCTTTGAGACTTGGAATACATTGCTTTCGTAATATGAAATTTATTGCCTATCTAAAGTGTCTAATTTTTCAAGTTTGTAAGTTGTTTAGTGGTTTTAACTTTGGGTGTTTTTTGTTGTTTGGTTTCGGTTCTTCTATGAAAAGACAGTTTAAGGAAAAACTAAAGTCATTTGAGGCATGTTTGTTCACAGCTGTTTGAAGTATCAGCATTTATAATGTGATAGTTTCCAAAACCCACCATGAAAACAAAAGAGTGGCTGAAAGTGTTGAGATGGCTTAAAATAGGTCACTCTTTTTTTTTTTTTTTTAGTGAATTTACTTTGAAAAGCATCTAGGCCTTGAGAAACACAGACCTTGTGAGTGAGTGCCCCTTTGTGAGTGAGCCCCTCTGGGTCCTTGCCTCCTGGCAGAGGACTGAAGAGGTGGATGTGTGATGTGAAAGCAGTTGGAATGGCGAGTGCAAAAACTGTGAACAATTCCTTAAAATGCTTTCATTTACTATTAACATAGCTCTTTAAATAAATATTTTGGGGAACTACATTGTCACAAAATTATACAAAATTTTTTACAAGTATATACATAAAGTATCAGAAAACATACTTTAAATTCACAAGATACAGTATACATGTATATTCTCACATTCTGAAAAATAACATTCTTAGAAATAACTTCACAGAAAATACGCTTAGTTACTACTAAAGGTAATTTTTGAAATGTAAAAATTAGATTTAAATAGTATATTTTAAATGACAGAACTATATAATTACAGAGATTGGATGGGTAGACCTCAAAATAGGACTAAACTTTTAATTAATATACAGGGTTTTGTGTGTATGGTTTTTAAAATTGTTAAGGCAAGAAGTGTCAAATGCTTTAGAATTAAATAACAAACAGATCACTGATTTTAAAGATGTGATAGTTTTTTTTTTTTTTTAAAAATTAACGCTACAAGGTTGTTAGAAAAGAATTAATGAGAAAAGGCTAATATAGACTTGGACATTCTCAGGACCAAATTCAGTTAGTGCTGTTTAGAAGAGAAAAAAAAAAGTTCATTGACTTGCTTGGTCATGTACCCAAGGGATATTAAAACCACCCATGTAACAGAAAGTCCCGTGGTTAGTCATCAGCAGGGTTGTGGTCCTTGCTTTTCCTTTGGGAGAAGAAAGGGTTAAGCAGTTACTGAACCATTTTGTGAGCTGCCCTTTGCTATGCTGCTATTAGAGTGAGACCTGAAACTTCAGGAAAGACAGAGCTGTGTGCAGGAGCATAGAGCTAGCAATGTCATCAGGCTTAGGTGAAATGACAATCCTGCTTCATTCAAAAAAGGTTACTCTGTTGAACTTAAGGCATTGTTCATTCCAGAGTTATTCAGTTGACACACTCTATGTCTCTGCAGAAGTAGTTTGTTTAAACTTTCTGAAAATAGACTTTTTATTATCATTATTTATACATGATATATAGCTGCATTCTTACAGTTCTACTATAAAGAACGTAAATGGGGAAAAAAGGGCTTAAATGGTTTATTTTAGCCATTTCAAATCAATGAAATAACATGCTAAAATCGAGTCATTTTTTGCTGTTGTGTAACAGACTACCAGAAAACAGTTAAGAGTGTGATGCTGTCATTCGGTTGCTATGGTTTATGGGCAAGCTAGAGTTGACCCTAAAACTTGTGCTGGGAAATTTGGTCTAAAATGAACTGTGTAAGACAGGGTTACAGAAAGGGAAAGGAGTGCATGTGGCTGGCAGTGCACAGTGAGTGCCGGTGAGCACAGGGTCCTTTGGCATGTGTTATGTGTAGACAACAAGCGGGACTCCGGTACCAAGAGTCACTTCGGGTACCTATCCAGGAGCTTAATCAGGTACTGCACACAAAAACAATTCTGTGGGTTAAAAAAATAAATATAGGTCAGAACCTCAATAGCCTGTCATGTTTTTAACCTGCCTTGAGGCTCGTGTAAGCAGGGGGTCATGGGGTGATCTTTAGTCAAGAAACTGACTATAATAGTGGTTAAGTCTGGCTTACCAGGTTGGCCACTCTGAAGGAAAGAAAAGCAGAAACAATTACAGTCGATGTAGTTGATTTGCTTATGATTTTAGGGTTTACCTACACTGTAATTTCTCCTTAGCCAAAAGTTGCCAGATTTGACCCAGAAGGAAAATTTAAAACTTTTAACAGCATCAAAAAATAGAGTATTTCTCTTTTCATGGGAGTGTGGTTTAGGGAATTTTTTCCCCTTTATTGATGGAGTGGAAATTTATTAACGTATTCTAAAATTCAGCTTAATTTAGGAGAACCGTGTATAGGAATAGTGAAAGATCACTCTCTCATGTTTCAGGCTTCCCAGTGCCTTAATCCTTCACACACAGTTCCTCAGACATTCAGACAGACTGGGCTCCATCATGGGCTAGGCCTTTGTGAGATAGTCCAGTTGCTTCCGTTGTGGTATTCACAGGTGCTGCACAGAGAGACTGTGCTACAGAGACTAGGCATTTGGAATCTTCATGTGTCTTGTCAAAGCAAACTTGGATTTCCAGACTCCTGAGGGGAGAAGGGTCTACTACTCTACAAATACAATTAACATGGGACCAACAGAGCGTCTTAAACTTACTCACACTTAGAAAAATATATTTTTCATAGCAGTCTTCATAATTTCCAATCTTCAGGAAACTACGGATACTGACAGCACGTTCCTGAATGGTTAGGACTGATCTTTGGCAGCATTTAAAGTGAATGAGAATAAGAATCTTAAAGAGTTCAGCCCCAGTATACCAAAAAGGAATTTTAATGATGAGTTTCACAAATGGACCTGTAAAAAAAAAAGCTATAAAAATTTTATTCTAAGAGTTATTAAACTGTATAACTTTATAAATGTGAACTTAATTTACATGTTAAGCAAATGTTTATAATAGATTACATCTTTACTATCTTCAGTATTCTCTTCCAGTTAAATACTGTTGCTACCTAGAACGTTAAACACTGTACACCAGTGGGAGTGACTGTTCACTGTACTGCTTTTCCATTAATGAGCCTACTATCACATTTTAATTTTTCAGTTACAGAGATGGCTTTCTAACAAACATAAGAAGATAGACAGTAGCTCAAAAATGAAAATAGAATAATCATACACTACTAACTTCAGATCCATTCCTGAAATCAGAACTGCCAGGAGAAAAGTGTCCTTTATAAAATGGGCATCATTAATGCTTAAGAAGCACTGTGTTCTTGAGGAAAGCTTGTGTCTGTTTCCTTAGGGAAGATAGGATTTGCCTTTTTAACACTGTGATCTTTGAGGGGGTGGTGGTAGTTTCCTTTCTTTATGGAAATACAAGGATAAAGTATTTCATTGAACAATGAACCTTGAAAATAAAATGTGAACGCTGACAAGAAACAGTTTTACTTTCGCGGAAGAAAAAAAGGATGAGAAATTGCCCAGCTTGGGTTTTAGCTTTGGGTAGGCTGGATTGTTGAGGATTGCTGCCCCCTAACACCTGCCCTGCAAGGCTGCTAAATTTGTAGTTTACCCAGAAAAAAGGGCTGGCTGTTCCCATCAACTGTGCATTTAATCCTTCACCTTATGGACAGTTAACCCAACGTGAACGGCAGATCGTTGGGGCTTAGATGTCTTCTGTTGTGTTTGTTTCTGGGCCTTTCTCTCATTACAGTCTTGGGTTAGCACCACAGGACCAGGCAGGGTGTGTGTTCCTCTTTTGATTCTGTTTCTCGGTTTTGTGTAGCATCCTCTCAGCATCTCTCAGTGAGGCGTATGCACACATTTCCAGACAAACAAACTGCAGTCGGAGAAAAAATATTACAGTGAGTTCATTTCTACATTGTTCAGAACCGATTAACCTTTGCTTTAATTGAGCTTTCAAATCACACCTGTAAATTTTTCCTCAACTCCTTTGATTCTGTATTTGCAGTGTCTAGGTAGGACTCAGGAACCAGCTCGTTATGCGACCTTTGCTAAGGTTGATTAGCTGGGTTCACAGACTGAAGTTGTAGAAGTGGTTATACTACATCTCTTACTAACCAATAAAAGGTGACCTGCTCCTTGTCTTGTACTGAGAAAGTTACCAACCTGCAGTCTTCACCTCCAGCACTGACAACATGTCGGTCCCCACTAGTAAATCGAATGTTCGTCACATGGGGCGAATGGCCAAAGAACCTTTTGTGCTTTGCCTGGAAAAACAAAAACAAAGCTCAGGGCAGGTAATGCACAAAAAAAGTGAAAGGGTCCTTCCTGTACCAGCCAACTGCAACCTGATTTCCATACTACTGTTACCACGCATGCTGATAGCGCTACAAAAATCTGTCAGGAAAAGTAGAGGAAGGACAGAAAAATGGGATATTCCAGACTGAATGCATGAACAGTGACAAGGCCGGTGAACCATCAACTCTCTCACAAAGGCTCTGAAAGCAGAAGGGAAGGAGGCCTCAGCTGATGAGGAAAATGGTCTTTCCGAGCGAGTCACGGATCTGCACTTAACACAGACCTGGTGATGGGGGCAGCAGGGTGTCTCCAGGTTTCTAAAGTGTTTTCCTCTGAGGAATTCGAAACTTGGTTAACATGATTAAGGGTTTGCCAAGAGGATAATCCGCAGTTTGCTTAGAATCATTTCCAAAGATACTATTAGTGGGAGAAGGGGAGGAAATATTTTGAACAGTTTTTTGTTTAGAATAATGAATTTAGGAAGATTGGGAAAAAAATTAGGAATATGGGAAAAATTATTTTCAGATCAGGACCAAATACATTTAAGTTTTCAGGTCATGAGTGGAATGTGTCAGACAACTCAGTTGTGAGTAAAATGATAAAAATACTAAACCAAACACAGACTTACAAATTTTTCAGGGCATGGGAAGTCAAATAGTTTGACCATGCCAAAGTCATCGCCTGTGACAAGACTGATTCCTGAATGAGAAACGCAGGCACAGTTGACGTCAGCTTTATCAGCATGTCTGGACCAGATTCCCATCACTTCATCTCCTAGAATGCTAGAGGGAAGAAGAAAAGAAAGCGAAGCCAGCAAACACAGGTTTACTCTCCTGAGTAAAAAGGGGAATATTTTCCCAATTTCCTAAGTACCTAATCGTGTTAGTTACAACCCAGGAAGTAAATTATGATAAGGTGGGTCATTTGGAGGCTGCCTCCCTTTTTAATGAAATTTTATATTTAAAGGGCTTATAGAATTAATCTTTTAACAATTCAGTACATAGTTCACAGAAAACTCTTTTAAAATTAAAAGCCATGCTCATGCTGTGGGATTGATTGCAGGCTTTTGTTTTCATTGGTTCAAAGTAGATATTCATGGTTATCTGTCATAGAGCCAGCAACTGTGAACAAAATTTTAAGCTTTTTTATCTAACAGCTTCAAGATAGCATTCCTTTAGATGGAAAAATAATAGTTGCTTAATAGCACCACGTGCATTTTTATTGCCCATTAAGCCTAAGGTCAAGGAAAATATTGGCATGTTTAATCATAAATCACTCTGATTTCCTTTCTTTGAAAGTAGTCCCCCTCCCCTTGGGAGGAGAGCATGAACGGTCAGTCAGAAAGGATCCCAGCATAAGCAAGCTGTTAGACTCTTCTGGGAAGAATTCAGGGTATTGAACATAAGCTGGAAACGCTATTGCTGTTCCGTACTGGGATGCTGCTAACTGTTGAGACAGGATTTTCCAATTTTCCCAACTGCCCTCATTACTTGCTTTCTGAGCATATAAAGTGTTTACCTAGTCCACGTAGCCCAAGTAATTCTGTCAATGGTGGCCTGATCCAAAAGATGTTTTCCTGAAGGCACTTCATAGACATGCCGTTTATAGCAACCAGTGGAGACCTTTCATCATGTTAAATGGGAGAAGAATTCCATTATGTGAGGTAAAATCCATAAGAGGTTTACAAGTGTACTAGCAGCAAAATGCTACTTGATTTACATTTCTGATATTAATGCAAAAGATCATTACCAGTCTGTTAGAAAAAGTGCAGGAAAAGGACTGAGAAGAATGGCTATTACAGAACTGATGCTGAACAGTGACTAGTCAGTAGCTAAGCAAGTGAAAGTGAAAGTGAAAGGCACTCAAAGACAGGAAGTGGACAAGCAGAACTACCCTGGCAAATGGGGTTATGTACATACAGCACTGTGTACACGGCGTTGGTACTATACCTGGAGATACCTGCTATCTGCAGAGAAGTCCATTTGGATGACAAAGCTTGGGATGTCTTTGCAGTAGCCAATTCTGTTAAGGGTGGGGCCCAATGTTAGGTCATAAAAATCCACAGAGTTGTCGCTAGAACCCACTGCCAGATACCGGGAATCTGGGCTGAACCTGGTTATGTGACAAAACATGTCAAAGGTGGGTTAGACCACCTGAAATAGGGTAAATGTTTAAGACATTAAAGTTACCTGGGAGACACAGTTGCTTACGAATACTGAGATTCATGTGTCATGTGAAACAGATTTGTTTTGTATTTAGTACTTAAATGTTTTCTGGATAGCACAGACGGTCTTTGCTCAGCTGGTAACCCCATGGTTGCCTGTTGGAACCCCCCTAGCAGTGGAAGATCCAGTCCAGGCCTGGCAATCGATTTCCATAAAGATTCCAGCCAACCCAACACCGTAGCGTAGGGAGTTTCTCCAAATGAACACATAAACAGATGCCTCAATAAATGCTTCCTGAGTCCTCATCTCAAGTCATTAAAAAATACCTCATTAAAAAATAAACCCACTAATAATTCTGTAACAACTGCATTCCATAATTCATTAAAAATTCTTTTATCTGGAAAGATGGCATCTTAATAGCAAAGAACAGACTGGCTTGACATCTCAGGTTATTAGAACAAAGTGACACTACTTGAAGCCTGGACTTAGTTTTTTAAAAGACAAAGTGAAGTGCAAATGCACCTCACCATCATGGGGGGAGTGTGGGACAACTAAGTGTTTTGAAAGTGCTCGTGAGTCTTGGGGTGCCTTAGGGAGGCAATGGGGAGCTATAGAAGGCCACTTTATGTCTTTGAAGTTCTGATTAAGGTTTCATTTTTAAAAAGTTTTACTGGTGAAAAGAGCACACATTTTTGACAGACCTGGATTAATAATTAACATCACATAAAAGTTCAGTAAATGATAGCTACTGTTAGAATATGCTTACGCAATGAAAAAATATGAGTTTAAGAAGGTTTCAGATTAATGCAGATTCTGGGACATGTTCAATGAAATGTTGAGGAATGAGTTACATATTTGCAAATTAAGATGATTAAGGAAATAATCGGTCTTATTAAGATGTCTTGAAAATAGAACTTCAGTTTTCCAGGTTGACAACTTTTGAATGTTGTTGTTGTTATGTGCCGTCGAGTCAGCCCTGACTCATAGTGACCCCTCCTTGGGTTTCTGAGGCAGTATCACTACGGAAGTAGGATTGCCCAGCCTTCCTTCGGAGGAGTGGCTGGTGGGTTTGAACCGCCAGCCTTCTGGTTAGCAGTCAAGTGCCTTAGCCACTACGCTACCAACTTTTGAATTGTTGTTGTTGTTGTTATGTGCCGTCGAGTCGGCCCCGACTCATAGCGACCCCTCCTTGGGTTTCCGAGGCAGTATCACTACAGAAGTAGGATTGCCCAACCTTCCTTCCGAGGAGTGGCTGGTGGGTTTGAACCACCAGCCTTCTGGTTAGCAAACTTTTGAATAGTAGCAGGTAATTCCTGACAAGATGAACTGGTGGCCATGTCTTTTGTGACAGCATCACGCATTCCCTGAGTACTTGGATTAGACAGTGTGGTGGTGCTCAGCAAGGAGAATTAAAGTACGCAGAAAGCCCTATTTCAGCAAACAATTTATGATGTGATAAAATGCAACAGGAACTTGCGGCCTTCTTTGAAGGTGTAGTTTGGGAAAGTGTTTCAAGTGCATGCTGGGTCACCGAAGCCATACTGGAACTGCAGCTGCATCTGCTGACTAACCTGACGTCCTGGATGGCACACCGTCTGGCCCGCTTCTTTCCCCATATTTTGAGAGAGCTCACCAGCAAAATAATGAATTCTCCATGTTGCATTCCAATAGCCACCATATCCCCTTCAGGGCTGTAACACACAGTATGGGCAGCATGTCCCAAATTCACTTTGTTTAACATTTTCTGCATAATAACCAAGAGAGTCAAAGACTACATTAAGTATAGTACACATTAAACCACTTTCCCCCCAAATTTGTCACCATAATTCAGAAGTCAATCTTTAAATGTTTAGGTCTACTACCCTACTTTGAAACTGTAACATTTTTAGAAATGGTTTGTACCTACTTTATCAGCAATATCCCAGAGTCTCACTGTCCCATCAGCTGCTGCAGAAAGGAACAGGTCCCGGGAAGGGTGAGTTGTAAGACCCCAGATGGGTCCATCCACATGACCATTAACTAAAATATTACATGCTGCATTTTTCTCTCCAATCTCAATTATTTCAGCATTTCTTGTCCCAACTAATATCTTGCCCTGAAACACAAATAGGAACAAAGTATCTGATGTAATAGTTGCTCTTCTTAATCACGGAAGAATGATGCTATTCTGCTTTCAGAAAACTTTGCGCTCTTTCGCGGCTCTTTTTACTTATCGAGCAGCCAGCTAGTTTGCCTGTGCAGCATCTGTGGCGAACGGTACACACCTGCAAGGGTGCCGGGTTGAGCTGCATGTTACGGTCTGGGCTAACTTTTCTCACGCAATGCAATGGCTTCAGTAATGCAAGTTCTGATGTAGACTGATGTTTCAGTCTCAGGCTCTCCAAAGAGAGCAAGTGCATTTGGAGTACAGGAAGAAAATACTGGAACTATTTATACTTTAAAGAAAAACTTCCTACTATTTAATATACAGACTAAAGATAACGTATATAATTTATGAATATACTAATTGAGGGTGCATGCATGTTCCACATTTTTAATAGGAATAAAACGGAGACAGCCACTCTACTCAAAATAAATCAACTAAGGAAACTGAATTCTGTCTACCATAGTTGAGCTGGCAGGTTCAAGAAAATACCCAGGTTTCAATAAAGGAGCTTCGATACAGAATAGCTTCCTGTCTCAGCACTGCACTGGGGTGACGGCTGCATCTGTTCCCGCCAGCAGTGGAACTGCGGAAACAGCAGCAGGGAGAAGGCCGAGTGAGACCAGCAGGCAAAGCCCTCATAAGAGAGAAACCCTGGATGTGGTTTCATTCAGTAAGCTGCAAAAGGAGTGAGAACGACAGGTGGAGTGGCTGTTCTCTGCGGCACCGTATTTCTCAAAACATCTTACTCTGCCTCTGCACACAGAACGAACACAGTCCGTAGCTTGTCCTGTCTCAAGCCGGAAGGCACGGCATCGCCTCAGTTCCTGATCCCACAGTTTAACGGCTCCTCCTTCTTTTGACCTAAAAAGCAAATAACCCAAACCAAAATAGACATTTACTACTGGTTTTTAACAATACGTTTTTATCACAAATACTAACTATAAGCAGCATACTAAAACACTGAAATTTGTAACTTGCTTCTATTAAACTTTTTATGGCAGTTTTAAGACACACTGTCTAGTAGTTAAAAATAAACTCAAGCTTATATTGTGAAGTTTTTTTGACATGAGCATAAACATTTATCCTCTCATAATTCTCGATTGAGGAAATGGCCAAAATGATTTTTATCACTGAAAGGATAATGGGAACGAAAGGCTAAGTAACAGGATTACAGGTGCTATTTACCGAGTGTATGCAACACAACACAATCACTGCCGTGGAGTTGCATCTGACTCATACTGACCTCTCCTTGGGTTTCCAAGGCAGTATCACTACGGAAGTAGATTACCCAACCTTCCTTTTGAGGAGTGGCTGGTGGGTTTGAACCGCCAGCCTTCTGGTTAGCAGTCAAATGCCTTGGGCACTATGCTACCAGAGCTGAGTGTAGAGTAAGCTCATTTACTGGAAGAATTGAGTATGTGTGACCCAGATTAGATGACGTGGGGAAAACAGAGTCTTTGAATAATGTGCAAAAGGTGAAATATAGTCTACTTGTGGTTTTCCTCTTGAAATAAATAAATAAAAATATTCATTTTCTGTTGGATGCACTGCTAGTCTTCAAGGAAAAAAAAAATGTCCTTGTACCATAATACATTTTCCACTATGTCAAAGGCTACATATAGATTCATATTTCACTAACATGTGCAAGTTCTTTCAACCTGTATTGTGCCGTACTTGCTACTTATCACATAAACCACATTTGTTTAAAAGTATTTATTGCGATTTGGGTGAAAGTTTACAGAGCAAATTCATTTTCCGTACAGCAGTTCACACTTTGTCTCAGGACTTTGCCTGCAATCTCCCAATTCTCTTCCCACTTCCTCCCCATAGTTACCTCGCCCCTGTGTCCTTCCCTCCAGGCACTCCTGCCCCCTGAGCTGTCTCCCTGTGCATACACAGCTTTCTGTTCTCCCATTGATCTCTCCAAGGAGTGTATCTACCTAATGGAAATGGTCAGCTTATATGCCTGTCTATTGTTTGGCTAGAAGTCAATTTGAGTTCAATTCCAGACCTGAAGGGCAGCTAGGGGCCATAGTCTCAGTCTCAGGAGTTTCACCAGGCTCTATCAGACCAGCAAACCTGCCCCCCCCCTTTTATTTTGAGTTTTGTTCCACATTGTTCTCCCACTCTATCCAGGACCTCCTGAAATGATCCCCGTCTGAGTGGTTGACAGTGGTAGCTGGGCACCATCTAGTTGTTCTGGTCTCATGCATATAACACATAGTGGATAAGGCAGGTGCCTGCTAATCAAAAGGTCAGCAGTTCAAACCCACCAGCTGCTCTGAGGAGGGGAGACAGGGTGATCTTCCGTAAAGATTTATAGCCTCAGAAACCCAATGGGGGTCACTATGAGTCAGAATCAACTCAGCAGTGAGTTTGGGTTTTATTTTGTTTATGAGTATGTTGAGGAGCTCTGGTGGTGTAGTTGTTAAGGCATTTGGCTGCTAACCAGAAGGTTGGTGGTTTGAACCCACCAGCAGCTCCACGAGAAAGATGAGGTGGTCTGCTTCTGTAAAAATTTACAGTCTTGGAAACCCAGTGAGGGTCACTATTAGAATCGGCTCGATGGCAGTGAGTTTAGGGTTTTGGTTTATGAGTATGTTTGTGAGAAATGAATTACAAATATCTGGTTACTGTCGGGAAATTTGAAAATCATTCAGAAAGAGGTTTCCCCAGATTTAATGTTGAGATCTTTTATCATATAATTTAACAACTTTGCCTCAAGCAAAAGCAAAGGAGGCAGCCTGTCCTCAGCATCCATGCATCCTTTCTAACGCAGCAGTATGCATTGTACTCCTTAGTATCAGTCTGAGCAAAAAAGATGACAGCTAAGATGCAGCCTTTACCAGTTCAAAGGTGAAGATTCCTGGGTGGGTCCCCTGTTACTCAGTGTGGTAGTTAAAGTAGTATGTCAAGATGGTGGGCCTGGTTGAGTGGCTGGGCAGCTGGTGGTAGTTATTCCCCATGAGGAGACTGGCAGTCAGCTCCATGGTGGGATCTACCGCAAGCAGCTGAGTAGCTGCCTTTGCGTATGTGGTCTGCTTCCTGTATATAAGCAGCAGCCTTGGGAATGGTCTCTAGCCTATGGCACGCTTGGACCCTGCATGTAGCCGTGTCGTTGCTCAGCAGCCTGCTATGCTCTGCCGACCTTGGGACTTACAATGGACTTAAGCTAATGGCCTGCCATGTGGTTTGGTAATATTGGGACTGTGCCTTTTGACTTGTCAACCTTGGGGCTTCTCAGCCTCAGCAGCCAGCAGCTGTCTGAGTGAAGAAACGCCTCTAGCTCCAGTGGGCCAGGAGCAGCAGGCGGAGCTGGATCTCCAAGGTTGACGGGCATTCACCCAGCCCTTAGAGCCTGGCACTTTGAACGTGGACTTAAAGCCTCCAAATTGTAAGAATAAACTCCTGTTTGTTAAGGCCATCCCATTTGTGGTGTATTCCTGTCAGAGCGGCACTAGGGAACCAGAACACCCAGCAAACACTTACATAGGCATATGTAAGGACAAAATCACCCACCTGCCCATGCCTCAGAAAATTACCACCCCAGTTGTAAGGTTTATCTACAATTGGAGAAAAACTGGAAGCAACTGAAAACCAGAAAGAAGCAACAGAAGGCACATAAAACGCAAAAAAAAGATCCATATGAGAAGGAAGGTCAAAGAGGAGGATGGGCAGCGTAGCCTAGAAATGACTAGCGTATCTAACGCACACCTCAGGTAGATCGCAAATGCATAAATACGCAGCGAGGCTGTGAAAGAAAGGACTCACGGCCTCTCCTTGCCACCAGTCACAATCAGTCCGTCCCGCAAGGTGGTGTACATCGCAAACACAGGCCCGTTGTGAGCTCTGGCCACGATTCGACACAGTATGTGATCTTTCCATACACAGACATCACCACTGACGGTACCTGTAAACGTCAAGTTATTCTGAAAAGGAGTGGGGGGGGGGGAGATAAACTCATCAAAAGTTCAAATAGAATTGAAATGTAATTCTCTTAAGTAAGCGTAACGCTATCTCACCTTTGATACAAAGAGCATGGGAGGTGGGAGAGGTACTGGATGAGTCAGAAAACCTGACCGTGAGGCTCAGTTCTGTCAGGACCTTTTCTCTTTCCAAGCCCATTGCTGATTAGCTGGAATAACCCTGACAAGCCTTTTAACCTCTGTGAGTATCAGGTTTTTCAGGTGTAAAGGGGGGTAGGTGGGCCCCTCAGGTCTGAAATAGTATAATCTTGGTTTATACTGTGTCTCTGGATTGCTTTCCTCCAAGACACACAGAGACTGTCCTTAGTAACGAAGGTGACAAGCACAGGAATAGGACTGAAGATAACTTTGTATTAGGTTTCATAAAATATTCTGTCATAGAAAGTAAAACTATAGCAAAGTTTGTGGTACTTTTTCAGATTTCACTCAGTTTATGTATTAACATTTGCCATGATTTCTTAAAATCAAAATAGCAGACGTTAATGCATTCCTGCAATCAAGCAATCCAAAATCAGATAAATTTGTTAGGATACGAAGTTTAATAATTGCTCTGGATCACTGTGAGAATTGTAAACTGGCCTTAGTTCATTTATGCAAAAACTGGAGAAATCAAATCCTGCATCATAACCCTTTTCATCCCATTTTAAAAGCAAGTAGTATAAGGTCTTTCTTTCAGAATTATGGAAAGACCAATAGCAACATAAGAATTTGAGTTATAATGGAAATTATAAACAGATTTTTCTTTTCTCCAGTCTTTCTGACAATACAAGATAGAGCTTCCTAACACAATTCAAGATTAGCTTCAGATTCTTTGACATTTATGAATATTCTCTGTATCTCATAATTGCATAATAATTTGTCACTAAGAGCACCACTAATTTTCACTTTAATCTATAATTAGAATGTAAATGTTTCAGGTGTAGAAACCAATACTTTACTTCCCTTGCTTTTTTCACAGCCTCTACTATACAGGATGGGAGCTCTGGTGGCACAGAGCCTAAGGCACTTGACTGCTAACCAGAAGGCTGGCAGTTCAAACCCACCAGCCACTCCTCGGAAGGAAGATGGGGCAATCTACTTCCATAGTGAT